CCTGATACAAATTCAGCCCCATTTTATTTTTATTTATTTTTTATTGGTTTTTAAAATTATTTTGCATATATTAAATTGCTACACATCATTTAGATTGTGAAGAGACTTTACCCAGCATGATATACACCTTGGTCCAGGCCAGTTGAGACCATCATACATGTCAATAGATAATAAGCCTTATCTGTGTCGCACAAGCATCAAGAGTATGAAATGGAAGCACCAGAGGTTAAATAATTTGCCAGGATAAAATGCTCCACAGCTCAAGTCCTCCATCACTAATCACACCGTCCCCTCCAGGGAACACATCGACACAGTGGTGTGGCCAGAAGCCAGCCAGGAAATGGCTGAGCTCTTCATGAGACTCTGAGTCAGCTCCATGCCATGGAAGAAGCAAGGATCTTCTTTGGGTTAGTTTCTGAGATTAATTTCATTTCCATTATACTCACCCAGCTGGTCCTTCTTTGGAAGGCACATGTAAAGAGATCTGCTTCACTATATTTCTAGCAATCAGTTTTTTGCATGAAGAAGTCAAAAACTAGGTTCCTGGAATTATCTTCTGAGACAGAATCCTTCACAGAAACAAAGTGTTAGTTTGCAATAGATGTGTTAGCTTCTTTTTTTAGATAAATGTTTTTGCTATAGGGCACATGAACTCACCAGGGAGACAGAGACAGAGACAGAAAGTAAGAAATCACTCCCCTGGGTAGAGGGCCATACCAAAGTCTCTTCTCTACTTACCTCTCAGGATTCTGGGCACACATGGACATGCACACGCACATGTACCCGGCATGAATTTTAAGTTACCAGGTCCAGGACTTGAACCATGGTGGACTACTTGGGAGTCCAACAAGTCCAGACGGTGTAACCATTATGCCATCTACTAGTCCCACAATAGATGTGTTTCTAAAGTTCATGGTGCTAGAGATGATTCTGTCTCCAAAATGTGGAAAAAACTACCAGATAAAATCATTACAGTGAACGATCGATTATCTTAACAATCACTTGATGTCATGCCTTCATTCTAAGGACCAGAGATGAAAAGTGATTGACCAAAAGTGATTGTGGTAAAAGATAGAATCTGAATGTATATATGGTAACACAAAGATTGCTAATATCGCTTCTAAAATTGATTTAAGATGGAGCATCATTGTAAGGGAATACTGACCCAAAACTGTTACACAGGGATACAGAACAAGTACAAAGCCTAACAGCCCAAATAAAGCAAAAAAGAAAAAGTGTTTCTTATCTGCAAAATGTACATACAACATCCCCAAATAGCATAATCAGTTTATTAGAGTCCCTCCTCTTTTTTTTTTTTTTT